GTGGAGTTCGGGACCTTCATTGAGCACAATTGAAGTTTGGGTCCGAAATTGCGAATTTGGTGTAAGTTTGGGTCCTTATGTCATATTTTTGCCTTATGCAAATGGTCATCCCCTTTGCCTTACCGTTAACAGGGTTATTGAAATAAAATGTATTATTGATCAAAATAAAAAAAAAATGTTATTATTTTAGTAAAAAAATCATTTAAGCATATATACAGTATAATATTAATTAATTAATTAATTAAAAAATATATTATCACTTGAAAATGATTTTATAGATTAACTAATAGTTATTTTTTTTTTTGTAAAAGTCTTCTCATATTAATTTAAAATGTGAAATTCAAATTTCACCTTAAATATTAAAAAACAATATATATTATCATTTAAAACAAATAAAATAAAGACAAATAAATAAATAAAAACACGCAATATCATGCAAGCCATTAACAAAAAGCACCACGGAACTCAATTACCAAAGGAGTTAATTGGCTTCAATTGTGGGGCTCGCGGGCTTACTTACCTCTTTTTTTTAATTCAATGGTTGACCGCTTATTGTTGGAAAAATTGACGAGAGCTTAAGAAGAGTGTTTTCCATGCTAGAATCAAGGCATGGAATTACGTCAATGGTCCCATTCTTTCATACATAGACTAGTTTTTCCACTCTCCATTAATTAAATCCATATTAATGCCTTTCCTAGAAATACTTCACACTTCTTGATCATTGGCTGGTTTGGATTAAGAATTATTTCTTCCAAAGGACATGAGAATGGCTTTTCCATGATGATTTACCTTCCGTAGGACTTCGAATAAGTGTTAAAGGAGTTGTTGTGGAAGCCATGTGAAGGAATCCATGTTTTATGGATCTTGTTTTTGGCTTTTTGCAACGAAAAGCAGTCAGTCAACTATATGGTAAGCTCGTTCAACTTTAGAAGAATTAGAAAAAGTCATACACTCATAGCACCCACCAAAGTTGACCAATGAACCTTTTCAGAGCACAAAAAGGAGAAGGAGCAAGCACAAAGAAAATAGGAATTTGGAAGCATGGGCGGATTCCGTCCGGCCTTATGGCCCAGTTCTTTGGATAAC